GTGTATCAGTAGGTAGCATTTGAAGTGTGTCCTTAAATGATGAGTTATGTTGAGAAACTGAGAGTTCCTGTGCTCTCTTGCATGGAATAGACTAAACTGGTGTGAAAAAAAATGGTAATAGTTAAACTGCTTCCAAATCTGGACAGGCCCTTTGGTTTAAAACTATGACCAGATAACAAAATCAACTAAATATTAGTGGTTAACACCCTGTCCCACCACCCCAAGCACTAATGGACAAAATAATTGCTTTGTCCTGTAGAGGTAGTGAAAATGAAACTATTCTACAACCYGAAATGTGTATATAAAAAACAGATGTAAGATGAAAAGTGTTCGTTATTATATATTAATACAAAATACTTTGCATTGTATGCTGGCTTAAGAGTTTGTTCAAACTCTTAAACATTTGAAAATTAAGTTGTGAGGCCTGTCTTTAACTCTGTGCATTGACAGTTTTAYATTCTTAGTTTTGAGCTGTTGCAGCAATGTGACATATTCATTCGTCTTGGGGATATATCACTATTCCTAGAGTGATCTTGCATTAAGAGTGCCTGTTTATGATTGTTAATATGTATTTCAGTCATTAGGATGGTGCAGTTTGTATGGAATAGTTCTATGATAGGTATTGTGCATAAGCAAATGCAGGCATTCACTATTTCCTTCTGGGTTAGTTCAGAAGTGCTCAAGTCAGGGTTAGAGGACTTGGAGCACTGCTGCTTGAGGAGGTGGGGACCCCTCTTGAAGCAAAGCTGCACTGGAGAGCTGTGCTCCAAGAGAAGCAGGGCTGGTGGCTCATCTCTGCTCTAATGGTGGTATTTTGATGTGGCAGTAATCACAGCAAAGCCACACGTGTGGCAGATTAGGGCTTCATTACCACATTGCATTCTGTTATTTCCAGTCCCTGCTACTTTCTTTTGAATCTAGGCCCAGGACTGAGGGAGTTTCTGGGTTATGACAAGAGGCRAGATTCATGGGCGGGTTCTCGGGCTGTACTGATTTTGCTGTTTCCTTGATGGTTAACCCTMAAATGTTTCAATTCAGCCTTACTTTTAGAGGTAGGCATAACTCTCGTGTCTTCAAAAAGACTAACATTTCCTAGGCATGTCATTTCCTCCTTTTAGGTAGAAGTCACAGTAGATAGCAAAACAAATTTCCCTTCATGCAAATAATAGTGCTCCCAAGCTGTGTGTCTCAGCTCTGATGCCAACATTTCTGTCAGAGACGAGCAGGAAAGACTTTTTAATTGAAATAGGGATGCTGCCTCTTTTTCTTCCATTTTCTGCAGGTGGAAGAAAGTTTTGGAAACCAGACCCTATGGTTTTATTCTCAGTTCTGCTACTAATATTCTCCAAGGCCTTTGACAAATCTCTGTTCTGCTCTTTGTCATAACTCCTAGAAAATAGCTTGAGGAAATAAAACTGTACTTTCTCATTGGTCTAGTAGTTAGGAATGATCCCAGGGTTACTAAACCGAATATGTCACCTTTCTTACAGGCCTTTTCCCCTGCTTTAGGCTACTGCAAGTCATGTAGCCAAATAAATGTTATTTCAGCTCTGCCTTGTGTCTGTGTAAATARGAGTTAATGAGTTGCTGCATCTCGTGGTTGGATTGTGACGTGGAGGTCTCCAGAGGGAGGATGAGGAGAGGCTGCTGTGGAAAGTCCCTGGCTGTTGCTAGGCAGCACTGCATTTTAGCTTCCCTGTCCAAAAGTCTGCACTCAGGTTTGCCAAGGAAAGGGAAAACTGAGGGATGGAAAACCATTCAAAGGTGGCTTGACTTACTTTTTCTAAAGTATGGCTTTACTGTGTGGCTGCAAGTGAGGTGGAAGCACTTTGATTAAACAGAATAACATTTGATAACTGGCCTTCCATGTATTCATTCGCAGCTGTGGGATCATGTGGCTCCCTTTCTCTCTCCCTCTCTCTGTTTTGGATCTTACTGTGATGTGGGACGTGGAAGCTGTAAGAGTGCAGCACAAGTGGTCTYGCTCTGCTTTCAGAGTGAGTGGAAATAGGAGAATGTGATGATTCCAGGGAGATTCCTGTGCTGAGGTTTGTGCTCCAGTTTAACAGCCTATGGATGAGGGGATGTCATGTTTTTACTTTTCTACTAAGTCCATCAAGAGGAGCACCAGGAGCAAAGAGGAAACACTAGAGGAACAAGAATTGTTATGCAGGGCATCTTGCTCTTGCTGCTCCATGCAAGCTCTGCAGTCTGTGGCAGTGGCATAGATAGTGGTATGATTCTCATGTAAGTAAAGCTTGTCACAACAGCATCACTAAAAGAGCACTTCTGTTTTCTGCTRGAAATGTAGGACTTGGGATACAGCTGAACACTTGAATTTGTCTTGGAAGAGTCTGGCTGTTTGTCCATCTGCCTACAGCCTAGTTCAAATTTYTCATTCAGTCTTTGGTACCATCTTGTAGTTTCTGTCTCTGTTGGATGTCCCTATATGTTTTAACAGAAGGCTAATATGGGTAAATAGGTTGCTGCCCCTGCTGATTTTAKCTGGCAAATCATGTCTTTTGTTGCACCCTGATGAGGTCATTGGGGGACCTGTGGGTGTGACCATGCTAGGCATTTCATCCCACTGGATTGTACTGGAAGGTGTTGTAACTGCTCCCTGGCCAGCAGAGTTCTGTTTTCCCCCTTCCAGCAGAGGATTCAGTGGTGCTACTGAGGCAGTGCAGAAGTGTCACAARCTCACTTCATCCCTGGTGTTCAGCSGAGTATGACTGTAAAGCTCAGCTTTACAACAGCCTGGAGAAGCTGAGGTTCTCACCCAAAGTCATACAGCTTGTATGGGGTGCAGCAGGGTATGTTCTGCTGTAACATTCCTTTCTTGCTCTAAAGGATGGGGCTCAAAATCATGAGTTCTGATTCTCACTTTCCTTGCTCAACCTGACTGCATTTCACACATTTTATCCCACCAGTGAACTTGTGGCTTGAGCTGTCTAGTCTACCCTTCCTCATTCCCACCACCCAGCATTTCCTAGCAGCTGGAAGAGGAGCTTAAGGAAAGACCACAAGATTGCAAGACCTCACAGCTCCTCATTTTGCCCTTCCTTGCATCCTGGGTTTTGTCAGCCCTACCGAGGTCTCCTTCCTTCTCAGTCTGTTTCACTGTGCTTGTGGGGGTCTTAAGAAAGGCACTGAYTTCACAGTAAATGCCAGTGGCTGCCTTGCAGCCTGGCTGGGAGCAGAGTCCTGAGATATTTTATAGGAACTCCCAGAGGATCACTTGTTTAATTGGACAGCCTAGGAATGGGCTAGTTCAGTTCAGCATTTCCCTTTGTCTCCTCCCTGGTTTGTGCAAAGGGTCCTTTTAGGTCAGACACCTTGGTGCTGTGCTCCAGGTCAGACCTGGGGACTGAGCCATCAGTCATGGCTACTGTTGAGCCTTCTGAATAATGGAGACAGCATTAGGATTCACCTGCTGAAGGATTAACAGGAAAAGTTCAAAATTCTTGCAGCACCTCCCTTCTTCCCCATGCATGCTTGGGTAGTGACATACACTGTCTTTGACCCCTAAACTACTCATGTGAAAGTTTCAGAGTGGGATGTGAGTGTGCCAAGTTCTGGATTTTAGATCAAAGAGGTTGATGTGTGTAGAAATGCTGGGTGGATCTCTAACTCTCTCTCCAAGTTTTGGGCAGTAATGTGGATTGGGACTGCAAATATGTGCTTATGGGATGTAGAGTGACAGAGGGTGGTGGAGGAATGGGACTTCTTCCTGCATCCCAGCAGTGCTTTCTACTGGAAAAAAAAATAAATACTTTCACCTAAGCACTGTCTTTGGTTTTCGAGTGGTGGTTTTTCTTCTGAATTGTTTTGGAGGTTGTGTGTATGTTTTGGATTTTTTAAGCTTTTTGAGATTCCAAGCCTCTGTACTGTGTTGTTTTTATCTTGCTTTGTGCTAGAGAAAGCAGGAAGACAACAAACAAAAAGAGAGAAAATAGAAAAGTCTCATTATTTACCACTCATCTTGGTAAAAGGGTGGGATGCCTTTCTACAGGTCTTCTTTAAGAACTTAATCTGAAAAACACTTCAGTTCCTTTGTGAAAGSATCTGAGTGTGGGGTGTGTTTTCCCATATTTCACACAGCTTTCCAACTGGAGAAGTGTTAAAAACAGAGGCTAGGAAAATCTTTTMTTTCTTTCAAAAGCTGATGGAGAAGTTTCTTCCTGACTTGATTCCCTCACCAGGTTTTTCAGTATGAAAAATGTAATTGAAGTRTTTTTTTAAATGGAAGAACTGTTCTCTTGGAGCCTTGTTTTTCCACTTGGGAGTTGTTTTTTGACAATTTTTTGAGGGGAAAGAATGATTTTATTCACTTGCCAGCTTTCAAAACACTGCCTCAAAACTGGGATAAAACTTCAACTCTCCATYTATTTCTGTAATTTCCCATAATAATTGCTGGTTCGAGTATATCCTGTTTGCTAAGTTGTGTGGTTCATGTTATGACAACTTTAATAACTCTTGCAGTATAGGCCCAAGAGATTTAGGACTACAGGCAGGTGCTTTTACCTTTTTTGTTTTG